TGTCTGGAAATTTTGGAAATACATGCCAACTGACTTCGAAGACATGCCCTGGATCCAAGCGCTTTTATCCTGTCTGAAACCTGAGCCGTTCAGCAAAGAAAAAAAAATTAAAATAAAACAATAAATAAAAACTCATCTGTGAGGCACTCAAAACCAAGAAAAAAAATTCATTATTGATCGTGTTTGTTGTGGGACAAAAAAAAAAAGAAAGAACCTGCCAGAGTGAACGGCACTTGGGCGGACACCCTGAGCTTCAGATCAATTTAAAGAGTAAAGAGGAAGAACCACATTAGCACAAAAGATATGGACACACTGACACCTAATCAAAAGCACTACCCACAAATCCCTGCAAATCACTTCAGATGGACACACGCATCACTGACTGACATCATTGGTATCGCACACTTTGATGCACAGGTAGAACTGTCTGGAAATTTTGGAAATACATGCCAACTGACTTCGAAGACATGCCCTGGATCCAAGCGCTTTTATCCTGTCTGAAACCTGAGCCGTTCAGCAAAGAAATTTTTTTTTAAATAAAACAATAAATAAAAACTCATCTGTGAGGCACTCAAAACCAAGAAAAAAAATTCATTATTGATCGTGTTTGTTGTGGGACAAAAAAAAAAAGAAAGAACCTGCCAGAGTGAACGGCACTTGGGCGGACACCCTGAGCTTCAGATCAATTTAAAGAGTAAAGAGGAAGAACCACATTAGCACAAAAGATATGGACACACTGACACCTAATCAAAAGCACTACCCACAAATCCCTGCAAATCACTTCAGATGGACACACGCATCACTGACTGATATCATTGGTATCGCACACTTTGATGCACAGGTCTGCACCACAATGGCTAAAACATCATAAAAAAATAAAAATATGAGAATGCTTAAGCAAAAAACAATGTCAGCATCAAGCAAAAGTTTTAAAATTCTGACCTTGGGTTGAGCGCGTCGAGGAAAGGCGACCTTAGGATCAATCTGTGCACAAACAGAGAAAGAAGAGAGAATGATGAGAAAAAAAGTCTCATATGAATGCAGTTATCCAGGCCCAAATTCATCATAATACACTCTTTCATACTTCAAGAAATCATCAACACCATCAAGCTTTGGAATTACGAGCATGGATGGGTCGTACTGGAATGATGACATTAACTCTTTGGCTTGTCATCTTGTTAATTTCAGTTTGTGTTCCATCTATTAAAGAATTATCAGAGAAACTATTTCATGCTCCAATGTCACACTTGCTTCAGCCTTAATACAGCTTCTTATAAAGAGGAGCTTCAAACAATCTCATACAGGCAGACGTAGTCAAGAGGAAAAACATAAACAGATCGAAATTGGGCTCTTGCAGGAAATTACTTGTCCATGTTCAGCAAGGCAAAGGCTTTAGATTGTAGCAAAACTCCTAGTGTAGATTTGAACGTTTGCCTGAGGGCTCTGCAGCATATAAGTGTGTATCATTACAGACAAGCTTTCTAAATAAAACGCACACACACACACTGACTGTTTCTTGCTGGACAGAATCTTAGGAGTCATTTTTTGCCTTCTCTATATGTGCGTGTTGTCCATATGTTGGCCATTTTAAATATAGATATGTCAATTCAATGTGCTGTGCACAGGGTAATTATTCTCTGAAATGACACACTGGTGTCCGCTGAACTAAACCCTTTTACTCCCATAATTTCGTTTGACTGATCTGTGATTGTTATCTCCCCAAATCAGGTCAATTAAAGAAATGGATTTTGTTACACCCGAGTATGGAAACCTTCTCTGTGATGAATTTTATGTAGCAATTCGTTTTAGCAATTAGCCTGAGGCTTAACCAATTCAACCTCAATTACTCCATAGAAACAAGCCTGTGTGAACGGAAACAATATTACGCTTTTGAATTTCAAATCAGTAGAAATTAGGTGTCTTTTTCCATACAGCCTGAGAGCAAATATCCCATTCTGATGAATGCACAGATAAATTGAGAAACATTTGTGTGTATGCTTGGTCTGTAAATAAAGGCTCCAGATCAATCTGATGTAGGTTTTTGAGTTTATGCATTTGCAAATGGTCCAGTAACAGTTGTCTGATCAGATCTCCAATTAGATCAATAAGCTGCATCTATGAGGTCGGGACCTTAAAGGTCATCACTGATTAGGTCTATTAGTACAAAACATTTTTACTACCACTGCTGGTGCTAGATCAGTCAAAACAAAAGCAAAACCACTGTAGTCCCAGCCATTCAGTCAACCAAACTAATCACAAACAAACAAAAAAAATCTTTAAACATAGTTATAATCTAAATCAAACAGCAGACAGCAGTTATTAAGCCAATATGTAATTTTGACTCAAGCACACGTTGTGTAAATAAAGTCCTGTGTATTTCCAGATGAAGCAATTACTGAGCTTCTCCCCTCTCAGCAGTAACAGTTTAATGTGTTAGTGGCCTTTTACTGCTTTCAGATAGAGGCCTCGTTTACATCTGCTATTAACATCCTTTTTGGCTGATCCAATAACAAGTGGTTAGCGCTAAATATGAAAAGAGGCTCAAAGCATTTTGCTACAGGATTACTCAAACCACTTTTGTTGGAAGTCAGAAACTACCACATTATATTTGTAAAGTACTCTTAGCTGGTTCCATGCTTAAAATAACCATACAATCATAAAGACAGCTTACCAAGTTTTAAAACACAGTCTATGTTTTTTTGTTTTTTTTTTAAATATGCCTGGTAGATGCATCCTCCACCAAAAGTTCCTCTTCAAAAAGACATCACTCAAAGTGTTTACTGTTTCCGTACTGTACGAAACTCAGCACTGATTGCAGGAGACGAGATAACAACCCCCCACTGCGATAAAAAGCTCACAGAAATCTGATTTCAGCTGAATACAAGCAACACACAGCACAGCCATGAAACCTCACTGCCAGTCATAATTATTCATTACCGTCAGATTTACAGACAGCGTCAGACACGCAAGTGTTTCTGGAGCACAGAAGACTTGGAGAATGAAGACAGCGTGTGGCGTAGAAGCTCCAGGGGCCTCATGTATAAAACTTTATGTAGATTTCATCCTACATGTGTGCGTACGCACAAAAGCTAGATTTTGTGTACGTACAAAAGTTTTCAAATTTATAAAGCCATGCGTACGCCAGAACCTGCCCAAAATTCCCTTTGTAATACCCAGTCAGCGGAAGATTGTGCGTACATGAATCTCCACCCCATCTCCTCCCCGAAATAGCCATTTATGGAGCTTACAACACCTAGTTTTAATATGCAGAATGTCATCTGCCTATCATTTCCATGCATATTCCATCCACGTGACACCATGTTTAACGCAGTTAAGGGTAGGAATACGTTAGGAAAATATGAGATACGGACTATAAATGCGTTTTGAGACATCACTATTCTAATTTATGCAATTTGCCTAAAAGGTAAACATATATTTTAAAATGTTTATAGCCTATATTTTTATGGAAAGAGATGGGCCTTATTTTTTTGCAGTGTAAATAGCTGTCCGACTCACCGCGTCAATAACAAAACATTCTGAAAATAAAACTTTGAAAATAAAATCTTACGGTTTCCTTCAAATTCTATCTTTTAAATATGGTGTTTGTCACAATATTGGGAAGAGCACGAAAGCGGTTATCATTAGGCTACTGTCTGTGCGCAACACCTGTGAACAGAGGTTCTACTGTCATCAGACCAATGGACTGTTTGATCAACGAACGCATCCTTTCCATAAGCTCCAACCGTCTATGTTCCAAAGCCATCAGACAAAGTCAAGTTCACAAAAATGATCATTATTATTCACGCAAAAGTATTTTCTCAGAACATGAGTTTTGCTATTTAGAACACAATTTAAAGCGGAATTGTCATGCACCAAGCAATCCTCGCTGTGATTAAAACATTAAATTGCATACCACAGGAAAATTGTTCGAAAGCAGCACATCCACTGCAAACATTTCTGTTTAAATTCATATAAAAATGAAATAATATTTCTGGATAATAATTTCATGGAATTTCAGTGCTTTAACTTCATTATTCAGAGTGTCATATTTAATCTAAACGTGTATGTCAAATGTAAAACAGACTTTAAAATCATTCTGTTTGCTTCCTTATTTCGCTCCCTCCAGTAAAAGAGTGTGTACGCATGGTCTAGAGTGACCGTACAGTGCGCACATATTTACGCCTAGTTTATTTTTTATAAATCCCGATATGTGCGTGGAAAATTGCGTACGCACATTTCCATGCCCATTTTGTGCGTACGCAACATTTATAAATCAGGCCCCAGGTGTTCGGCGTAATTTGTCTGACATTTAAGTTTTGTGGGGGGTTTTTCTACAAACATACTAAAGAAATCAACGCACAGCAGAGAAGTGTCATTTTCAGAATGCCAGCACACTGACTGATGTAGCTATATATTTCTATTACGAATATTCACATTTTCAACACTCTAGGGATCATTTTTACAGTATCTTCATACTTTGATTTGAATTCTGTACAACTGAACAGAATACAGGAACTGAGCTGTGTGAACTGAGTTTCTAATTTAACCCTAATTAAACACACCTGAACCAGCTAATCAAGGTCTTACTAGGCATTGTGTTGAGGCAAGTTGGAGCTAAACTCTGCAGGACACCGGCCCTCCAGGACCGAGTTTGGAGATCCCTGCTACAGAGGAATGCAAGATTATTATATAAAGACATGTAAAGGAAAATATCAAATCCATGTGAGATGGAAGTGCATATCCATGAGTCTCAGGTGACTGTGAAAGGAAAGAAAGGGGAAATCCAGAGGTGTCCCTTCTGTTCAGAGTTCATAACGGTTATATCTGAATCATTTCCAAGATAAACAAGGACAAGCTATGTTATATTATGTAGTACTTTAAGTATACATCATTTATATTTATATGATAAATGATGTATACTCATATTATACAGCTAGATACACATGTACAAAAAACACATATACAATGTCAACAAATCATAAGATTTACAATGCAGTTCTGGCCCTGTATGGCAAGTGGCAGTTCCGATCTCTTTCACACTGGCCCTGAGCCATCCATATTGTTAAGCCTGATATGCAAGTATGTAAAACTCTCAGTCGACTCAATCCGACAAAAAAGCTCACTCTTTAATAAAGAGGCAGGAAATAAACGGAGATGAGAAAGGAAAAGAAAAACTCTGCGGGAAAGAACTTCATCTGAATGACATCTGTCTCAGTGCACATGCTCTATCCTCACAGTTAACAGAAACCAAACGTTATGAAGCGATACATACCGTCTTGGAGTCTAATTCGTGGTGTGGTTGCGCTAAGACTTTATCTACACTGGAAACATCAGCAAACGTGATGAAGCCAAACCCTCTGTGGAACAAAAACACAAAACACAGTGAAGGTCAGGAGATAACTCCACAGAAGAGGCAGAAAAATTGTGACTGCATACAAAGCGCTCTTGTATATTTGCTGATACACTCAGTGAAGGCAGGGGTGTTGCAATCATTATGACACTTCTAGAAATTTCCACTTGTTGAGAGATAATCACAACTTTTCAAATCACAACTTTAGTGCATCACTGCTACACTTTTTTTACACAAATTGTTCTTATGCCCTTGAATAAAGTATAGATATATAATATACATGCATTATACAAACACATGAAGCACATACAGTGCACAGGTAGAAAATATAATAAACACTGTCCAGAAATATTGGCAGGTCTGGTCAGTCATTTATAGCACATCAGATATTTTTACAGGGGAAGTGAAGTGAAGCTTTAAAGCCCACTAAAAACTAAATTTAAAGATTATTACTATAAATTATAAAGAAAATTAAAAATTCTATTGTAATTTAAATATTCATATTTGACATGAACTGACAAAATTAAGTTTAAGAAATTCTTCAGCACCCACTCAACCAAAACCAAAACTCTTCTTTTCTAAACCAGACTTCTCTCATTTTTAGGCCCTATAGCCCCTTGTGCATGTCTTTTTTTTTCTCAGTGCAAGTGGGTAAAGTTCATGAATAGTGTTTTGAGCACAATTAATTCTGTTAATGTTTTTAGATGAGATTCAGTGGGTTCTTAGCCTGGTTTAAATTGAACAATAGAGGTCAAATGGCATCATTGCTTAGAAGCTCACACTGACAAAAAGAAAAAGTTTATGAAATAAACTTAAATATTTATGGATTATACATAGTGAGGGTATTATTTTTTCCCCCATTTAATGTAATTACAAACACTTTATACATTTTTTTTGTTCCACTGCATCTCTTTGAAATGCCACTCCAGTGCTACAAATACTCCATCTTTCCAAAAAATACGGAATATTGCTAAAAACAAATACTAAGAAAATAAACAAATATAAAAATTTGATTTATAAATCTCATCATTTTAAATTATTTTCAGTACTCGACCACTTTAATAAACAATATCCCAAAAAATAAAATAAATAAATAAATAAATAAATATATACATTAAAAAAAACAGCAAAGTTTTGATGTGACTTCTATAGAGTCAGATATTAGCAATATATCCAAATAAAAAGAAAGTGACAGTAAGAAATATCTGCATTTGCTACGAAATATAATTACTCTCATGCTTTGTCTTTACATGTTACATGTTTGTGGTCTTATTAGGGTCACCTCACCTATATAACTGTCAATTATGTAAACAAGACAAAAGACTGAGAAATATGGCTATAATATAGTGTGTGTGTGTGTGTATAGATAGATAGATAGATAGATAAAGATAGATAAGATAGATAAGATGGATATAGTCCCTTCAATATATATGAGCTAAAACATTTTGTCCTTTGTAATATAATTTAGAAATCACTAAATTATATTACAAAGGGAATCGCTTTCTAACACAGTACAGTCCTCCTAACTCAATGTCAATGAATCAGCTTCCTATCCTGTTCTTCTTGATCTGCAATGTAATACAGCAGAATAAAGACAGCGGGACATAGAGAAAGCACGTGTGTTTACCTGGAGCGTTTGGTTGTGGGGTCGCGCATCACCATACATTCTCTGATCTCCCCGAATTTACTGAAATAGTCTCTAAGGCTGTCTGAACACAAACACAAGGACACAAGAGGGTTACGCCGTGTCTCCAGTGCAAGAGAGCGACGCGATTAAACCAGCACGCTGCCGTTATAATCAACGAAGGTCGCGCGCTTCACACTTCGTTGATTATAATGAGAGCGTTAAAGTTGTCTCGTCGCTCGTTTTTAGTGTCAGATGACTGGAAATCACAATAACCTTGTGCGCAGTCACACACATACAAACACTACACAGCTCTCAGCCATGGATAAATATAAAACAAAACTCTAAAAAAAAAGAAGAAATTCGCCTTACCTGGTGAGGTTTGCCAGCTGAGGCCACCGATAAACATTTTACTGTAAGGAGAAAACATGTTATAAGTGACTCCGGATGTCAAAACGGCCATTTTCCGTGTAAATACCTCATAAAGAGCGATAAAGAGCTTGAGCTGTGAACCGGCTGAAATGAGCCGTTAGAAATGACCTCTCATTCAAAACATTAGCAGAACTGAGCGAGAAAGGACACGCGCTCGCTCGCGCAGAAAACAGAATCAAACTCCAAAAACACAGACGGGCGCGCGCGCGCACTCATCCTGTCTTCTTACCCCGGGTCGTGTTGCGAATCATTCGGGCTTCCAGAGGTGAGTTGACTCGCGTCCGCTTCCATAGCTCAAAGCCCAACCAACTCCACACACACGGGCACTGCAGCCCCAGCTCAAGGAATATTACCGAAGCGGGAGCGCTAGCGTCACACGTGTGATCTGCGCACAGTTCCCGCCCCTCTCAGGAGAGGGCGTGGCTGAAAGCGTCAGCCAACCAATCCGGCGGAGATATGCGCCTACCTATCAAAGGAAGCCACGCCTTCTGTTGGTTGGCAGTGTTTGACAGGAACCACGAGAGTATATTCAGTTCTTCAGTAAAAGCTCTTTAAACCCTATTAAGTTTACATTCGAGCCACCTTCTGAATAAATACAACCAAAAGGCCTTTTGAAATAGGAAATGCATGTTTAAAACTAAAATTAAGCACTGTAATTCAAAACACTGAAATAAAATCTAGTTTTTCTTTGTGGCACAAGCATATTCTATCTTGTGTCATTGTAGTTTGACTTATTATTAGTGGCATCCCCACAAAATCAGTAATTAGTGAAAGTAAGATATAAGAAGATAGATTACTTAGTAAGATATATTATAAATGATCAGGTTTATTTGGATTTCAATTGTCTTGAAAGTTGGAAAGTACTTGCATTCTTTCGGTACCTTTCAGTAGACAATATTATCATTAACGAAAACTAAAACCAAACCAAAAAAACTTTCATTACTTGAAATAAAATTAACATAACTTAAACTTATTTTAATTCAGTTGACAGAATAACTGTACCAAAATAACTAAAACTAACTTAACTAAAATAACTAAAAGCTAATTAAAAAAAACGATATAACCATATGTGAAACAACAAAATGGCTAAAACTTTAACTAAAATGAAAATAGAATAAAATATAATTCAAGGTATTAACAAAAAAATATAATAGTATACCAATGATACTAAAACATCACTGGAGTTTATTGTATGAAACACTTGGAATGCTTGTTTTTCTTATATGATATGGACTTTCCAGTGAATTCCATTGTTTTTTTACTTAATAATATTGTTTATAAACATAACACTAAGGCATATTTTGATATGTATGTTAATTGTCCTGGAGGGTGCTGAAAAACTTGCTGACACCCCCACACACGCAGGCAATGTATTTCAGAGCCTTTTTATGCTTTGCTGAGTGAGCATGCAGAATGGATAGATCAGTGTTAGTGTGACATCTGCTGACGTAATTGATATGGAAATGCTCAAATAGAAAGTTTATCAAATGACTGTAGCTCTAGTTTCACAGAATCAGATCACTGTGGAAAACAAGAGCACTGCTTCCCACTGCCAAATGAGAACTCTTTAACCAGCCAATAATATCTTGCCTTACTTAGTAAACACATAGATCATGCTGCTAATGTTCTAATAAACTTTCTCAAACCCATAGCAGTCCAGAAACACAGTCTTAAATTTATGTTCCAACTCTGATATGTGGTATTAAAATTACATCTCCTGGTAAAGGGTACATTGTGGAGAGTTTGAGATATTTGGAAAAGTAGTAAGAGTGTTTCCCGTATCAAGAAAATTAAGCTGCATCATGTTATATGAGCCCAATCTGTGAGGGAGACCCACAGTCACAGCGGCATCTGTGTTTGATTAATGAGTGGATCTTCTACTTACTGAAAGTCTCATTTTTTAATGCTGTGCATCTGTTAGCTGCCTAACAGATCAATGTGCCTCTTTAGGATAATACACATTCATCAGGCTACTCTGGAAACGAGAGGAATTTCTGCTTAGCGAACTAGAAATCTCAAAGTTAAGACTGGAGAATATGAGAGTACACATGCAACAGAATCAGCCGTGACATTCAGCTTCCTCAGAGCAAACCAATCAGACCCCCTGCGGCAGGCAGATATAAGAGCAGGGCCAAATACAGGGAGCTTTCTGCATGTTTATTGAAGAATCTCAGCAGTCACTTTAAATCATTCAGGCCATTTCAGCACACTTTTCCACAAGATTTCACGCAAATCATTGCAATATAAGTATAACCTTTTCCTCTACAAAGTGCCTTGCTGTGTAATCTTTTACATGGGTACACAGCCATGTGACATTTATTCAAGTCAACTGAATGTTTCCATGTTGATCGCCACTAACTCTAGACTAAGGTTTTCTAGGGCATTTTCTTCTTTTTTGGATCGATTGCCCATATTAGAGAAATTACCATCAAGAAATAAATAAACATACTGAAATAAAAAATATACACACAGTATTATTTGAAAAATGCCTAATATCCTCACCTTTAAACATGAACACTCTTAAGACCTACTTGTAACAAGCCATTCAAAGATTTACTCTGAGGGACATCTGTTGGCCAGAAGTAGCAGGTGCATGTAATTTTTTTTCAAGTCAGCCAAAGAGTATGTACTTTTTACCTATTAGGAAGATACCCTGACATACTAAATAAATCAGACATGGGCTAAAACAACAGACATTATTGCTATGGAGGTTGGTACTCGTTTAAAATCAGCTCCGAGATTTTGTCTTGTTGAATATACTTCAATAACTGTGATGCAGGTTTTTCAGGGCAGCATTCCAAAAAAAAAAAAAAAGATTTTTTGCTCGTTTTTTCAGAAATTAAAACTTTTTTTAAAGCCTATAAGCAGTTTATAAAGTTTTAAGCAGTATATTGATTGTAATTTAAGGCAAAGTCAGCATAAGCACATGAGACAAAAGCACACCATGTTTGCGATATCCACAGATCTTTTACTTCAGCAGCAGTGAAATGTTTGGCAGCGTCAGCATGAGAGTACAGAGCACTGAACCGTTCAGCAGGGGATCATAATGCTCTTCACTGCTGGAGTTCTTTAAGGCTTTACATTCAGAGAGCATAACACTGTCCCCACCCCTTATCTTACAGAAAATAAACAAAATACAAAGACCAAGAGAAGAACAAATATTTCTAAACAGAACAAAAAAAAAAAGATACTACAAAAAACCTATATACTTCAATATCAAAATACCTGAGCATAACAACCTATCAAACCATCAGCATTCAAGAGAAAATCTTAGAGACAATATTAGCAGGTGTTCAGATAAGCAGCTTTGATTTACTCTGCAATGCATTCTGGGGCAATAACTTAATTCAATTATCATTTAAATAACATCAAATAGCGTAACATTAACCATTTGAAGAGAATTCTTCAAAAATTTGGTTTCCAACATAATCTTCATACAACAAACAAATATACAAAGTGGAATACACGATTTATTGTGCAAAAGGGTGATCAAGAGAGGATAAGCAAAAAGCTGTGACATCACTGCATCTCAAACCAGGTGCAAAACCCCCGTTCAGCCAGTAATCTGTTCACCAGAACCACCTGCAGACCCACAAAGCACATAAGTAACAGTTATAGCTGAAATGTAAGGATCTAGTAAATAGAAATCAGACATACACACCTCGTCTCCTGTCTGTTTCCACATGTGCACCAGAGGAAGGCCATCATGACTGCCTGTCACCTGACCATAAACAAACATCTATCAGGTTCAGAATTCTTATAGAAAAACTAATGAAAATATTCCTCAGAGCTGTTTTTGATCGCCCAGTGAAGAGCTGATGAAACATTTGCGAGCTGATGAAAAAAGCTAATAATTATTAAATCATGAATTGTAAGATAAAATATTTTGTTTACTTGTATGTCATGTGACCATAAATTGACTGTCAAAGGTATTGTGAAATTACTGTATTAATTTGAAATCTCAGGGCGGATTTCAAGTAAATATTTTAGGTCAAAGGGCTGACAAATAAAGTTTGAGAACCTCAAATCTCAAGAATCATTCAATACGGAGTACATAATCAATGTACCGGAAAAACTGGAAAGACAAATGTGTTTGTTTGTTATAACCTTGATGATTAGGGCCATATTTGCAGTTAATTCCTTCAGGGCTGCTTTGGCCTCCAGGGAAAACTCCTCCTCTCCTATCAAAGCAAACAAATGGCTTTTTGTTTTGTTTTTTAGCATAATTCAGTAGCTATGATTTATTTGTGTGATTTTTTTACAAAATGTACAAAGAATAATAACACTGTATGTATGCATTACAAAACAGCACATAAAGCATTTTTAATCATAAACAGGCCAATGTTTTACCTGGCAAAGGAGTGATATTGTCCAACAGAACCTCTGCTGCCTGGAATGGCAACGTTACAAAGTCTGACCTGTGAAAACAATCTTCAAATATCAGATTGAACTCATTCCAAAACAATTACAGATAAATAATCAAACCAAACTTAAGCCACCTGACCTGATCTGCCTGAGGGTGGCGCTGTTCACAGTGTCATAACCTCCATTATCTACATATCTGATATGAGCCATTCCAGACTCTCTGTAATACTGGATGACCTGGGCTCTCTGCCAGCCACTTCCTGTTACCGGAGCAGCACAGACCACCCCCACTGACAGAGACAGACAGAAAACAGACAGACTTCCTCAAACTAGATGACAACAAGAAATCCAAATTATTTTGAGAGATGACCACATTGCCTCCATGAAATCTAAGTATAATTTGTCTTGCAAAAGTTTGAGCAAAATTTTGTCAAATTTAGGACATATACTATCAGAGATGGTGTCTTTCTCTGTGTTTGTGTGTGTGTGTCTATATATATATATATACACTGTACATACGTTCAAAAGTTTGGGGTCAGTAAATTTTTTTTTTAAAGAAATTAATACTTCTATTCAGTAAAGATGAATTGATTTCTATATTATGCCAACACAGTAATAAATTATTAAAACATAAATGTTTTTTTTTTTATTGTAATCATATTTCACAATATTACTGTTTTTATTTTATTTTTATTACAGTTTTGTTTTGTCAAATAAATGCAGCCTTAGTGAGCATAGGAAATTTTACCACTTTGAATAAATACTGTGTAAAAAAAACATCCTAGGATCCACTTCATGAAGTTGGTTGCTACAGTACATATTTAAAATTGGGTTATTCTTATTTCATAGTGTTGTAACTTTACTAGTTTTCTAAAATATGGGAAATGGTAACAATAAAGAAATTAAAAGTACTTTTTAAAGTCATGCCAATAAAGCTGTGCTGATTCTAAAAGAGAGAGAAAGAGCAAATTAAGACAATTATGGAGGATTAAAGCAAAACCATAACACGCTATGTTAAAGACAGATGTTGTGTTGTTCCTATCAAAAGCATTTGCTAAATTAATACATGTGAATATAAAACATATACTCTCCACATTGAGATCTAATGTGTGTAAGTAAAGGTCTATATACCTTCGACAGGGGTGGGCAGGCTGGGACATCCTGGCTGAGAGTAGCAGAGCTGCATGTGCTGTATAAGTGTGGGAAGGGCCTGATTAGATGGATGCTTGTGCTGCTGAACGAACAGATGATGACCAGCCTCTACCCGTGAAACGATCACCTCCACAAACACATCCTGAGGCAGCAGCAGCTACGGAGACAACAGATAAACACTCAGCTTTTAAAACAATGGCTACTCTCACATTCAGGCATGCATTAAATTGGCACCTCAAGACACATCACATCAGGATATTTAATGTCATCCAAGTAGAATCAAAGTCGGCATGATGTTTCTTAAAACACCAATTTTCCACTTAAATTTAGGTTTGTTCCTCACACAAAGCTATTGCACAATTTGAGAAAACTTGAAATTTAAGTCACGAGTCATGATGCTTTGTGTTCTAAAGAAGAAAGCAAGTCATATGAATTTAGAATGAGCTAATATGATATGATTTTAAGGGTCCTCACCCAGGATGTGATGGGCAGGAAGGGCAGAGGAACACAGTTAGTCAGATCTAGATCTTTGAACTTCTTCCTGATGAGTGAGAGAGCATCATCCACCTGCTGCTGTGAGCCTGGATGAACAAACACAGACATGAACTCAGCGCTGGGCTTCTGCATGGAGTGAGGTACCCATCATCATCATGGGAAAACTCACCCTGGATGTGGCAGATTTGAATCTCCTGAGTGAACGGCAGGGTGGAGACATAGATCTTTGCTCCAGAGCTCTGCTTCAGGAAGTTTATGAACTTCCCCTGCTTCCCGATCAATCGACCAACCAGATGCTGCAAAGACAGGTCTTGATTTAAATCTTCAAAGGACAACAAGTCTTTCTGTCTCTTATTGAAGACAAGTCACTCTTCTTCTTATACCAGCAAAACAAACCTCAACACGCACACACACACACAAAGTATGCAGGCCTCTATATGCCCTGTAACTTGAGCTTTTCTGTAGTCTAATACGTCAAGATCATGTATCTTTTCTGCTGTGGTGCATCTCTGAACACGTTCATACAGTCTTTTAATGGGCTAATGTTCAAACAATATCCGTATGTGGTTGTATCTGTGGGCGGGGCTCACCGCTGGCACCTCTATGTCCCAGAGAATGATGGGTGGGGTTGGAGGTGGGGCCAAGCTGCTCACCTGAGCGTCAGCACTAATGCAGCTTTTAACATCTGAACCTGGAGACGAGATCCATGTAAATGTCACACATAGACATTTTTACTGCTTTGTGACTGATGCATATGAAGTCACACTTTATATAGATGCCATAAAATAATGCATAGGCCTACAAAAAATTCAAAAGCCAGTTAATTCATTTCAATAATTTTCATAATTCAACAGGAGGATAACTGCATGAGTTTGGAAAATAATTGTTTCATGCACCTCTCAAGGCCTCCTCCTCTCCCTCTGTCACTCCGAGCATGCTGGGAGTCATTTTGCTCTCTATGCTGACTGTGTCTGCTTCTGTGGGGGTCAACAAAAACCTTTGGCCCTCCTTAGACAACTCTCTGGTGAGCCTTTCTACACCGGATGCATCCTCTGAAAAGCAGGAACCACACCCAGAATCATCTCCAACAGAAGCTCCTAAATGGCAGAGTAGTTTTTCCCTGAATGAGCCCACGTCCTGAAGGGATACTCTGCTGTCGTCATCACCGCTGAATGATTCTTGAGCAGCATATAGAAATCCACCCTGTGGAGGTCTTGAAACACTAGCAAGCTCATGTGGTTCACTGGGTTCCTGGTTTTTCCAGTCCTCTGCCACTGCGTCTATGACCTGTTGGACCAGAACAGAACTGATCTTCTCCATGTTCTCCAGGTTCAGGCCTCTATCAGGGGAGAGATCAGACAGGCTGCTGCCATCATGACTGTCCAAGCTGACAGGACCTGACTGTTGTTCTGTTAAAGTGTGAGAGTTGATGGGAAGGCGGTTTGAAGACAGACAAACCGGATCAGACTCAAGCCCAGAGTCATCTTCACTAACTTCTCCACATTCTGGATGGCCTTCACCAGCAATGTTGTCCTTTTCTTGCTCAGTTCGGAGAGTCTCAGGGAAACGAACAGATACTTCTCCTTCTGGCTCGGGTCGAACTCCCTTGGTGAGGCCTATTTTGGATATGGTGCTGGTAAGATTTTTGATTTCAGAGGATCTTGAGATGCTGTGGTCCATGTTCAGGTCACTGTAAGAGAAGAAAAATAGAAACAGTCCGGTGTTTGTCTTCACTCTGGAAAAAGCAAATCTGTCTGTTTTTTGAAAGTGAATTACTTGGACTGGTCGAGATAAGTTTCAGCATAACTTAGCATAAACCAAGATTTGGAAACATTACTCCCACTGGTAAAAGGATGATTAGGGGTTCTGAAACATTTTTGCTGTCAAGGAGCCCCTTGCAATGGACCTCCATTCCCACAATAAAAAGACAGCTCTATATTACTATGAATAAAAACCCCATTTACACTGTGTGAGAAAAATATTAAATGTAATATATATATATAAGGCAACAAAATTAATTGACAGCATATATGAGATTATCATTTTGTGTTAAAAATACAGCTGTTGTAAAAGTATGTAAAACGTGCTACATACATAAACTGAAATTGAAGAAAAGAATTAAATAATCACAAATATCATCATTATTTTTCTTTTAAAAAAGCAGAATAAAAAGAATTAAAAAAAAGTTACATATTTCATTCATATCTTAAGGGCCCTATGAATACATTTTTATTAATGTTTTAATTGTAAAATTTTTGTGGACTCCCTAGCATCATTTGCGACCTCCTGTAGGTCAAATTTAGAGCTCAGATAACACTTATTTGTAGAGAAGAATTAATATAAGAAGATATTCTCACCTAAAACTGTGGCTAACCAAGTATGCAACCTTTAAACAACAAGACACAACTCATGTATGGTCTGAACTACTGACCTTTCACCCAAAATACTGGAGTCAGCAGGGGAGGAGTGAACAGGGCTGCTGCTGTCCGAACAACACACATTCTCTTTAGTCCAGAGAGGAGCTGTCGTCCTCCTCCTCCTCCTCCTAAAGCTGTACCAGCACCAGCTTAGCAGAGTCAACACAGAGACTGAGATCAACGGCCTAAATGACAGCAGCATCCTCTTTCCACTGATCCCACTGAGAGAGAGAGAGAGAGAGGTCAGCTACATCTAATAAGACCATCCCTAGTCTTCTTGAGTGGCACCAGACTGTAAGGAGAGACGTCTGAGCTCAGAGGGGGAATGAGTTTTGACACCAACACTTCTGCAATAGAAGACTGAACCAGAGCAATCTCATTAGCAGCTCAAATATCCCAGCAACACATAATCGACACACGCGGCGCTGTTAAATACAGCTGTCACCATGACATTCACCAAACATCTTGATTTCTGGCCACCCATGAGTATCAGTATCAATATTTTTTTTACAGTGTTAACAATTCAACTCAATACGAGGTTGATGTTAAGCTTACATTTGTGTGTATGTGGAGAAGAATAAAAAGAGGAATTTCAATATAGCACTAAGTGGCATATCCCAATATAGGTCATAATCAGTGTTGGGGGTAACGCATTACAAGTAACGCGAGTTACGTAATCAGATTACTTTTTTCAAGTAACTAGTAAAGTAACGCATTACTTTTTAATTTACAATTAAGAGTTACTTTTTCAGATAAGTAACGCAAGTTACTTTTTTTCCCAATTTATTGATTGACAGCTCGCCTGTCCCCATGTTGAGAGAAATCAGAAGATGTTACTGTAGTTCTAAGCAAGCCCTGTCCAGATTTAAAAAGTAACGCAAAAGTAACGTAACACATTACTTTCCATAAAAAGTAACTAAGTAACGTAATTAGTTACTTTTTTCTGGAGTAACGCAATATTGTAATGCATTACTTTTAAAAGTAACTTTCCCCAACACTGGTCATAATACACTAAAAAAAACAATATTCAGGATAAAACTAGAACCTTCTAATCCCCAAACAAACTTTTTTACTGTATCGGTGAAAATAAAGCCATGGCAGCAAAGAGAAGTAGCTTTTGCAAAAAACATAAATGTGCCAATAATTCCTCTTGCGTATACAAGGATACAGATGAATCCTACTACTTAAACTGACTCTTCAAAACTTAGTATATTGTTGAATCAACTGCATTTTTATGGAATTGCAGTTAAATGAGTAGGACTAATAACATGCAGCCATCAAATTCAGAGGAAATATGAATTAAGTAATCTGTTCAAGTAAACGCAGCTACAGAGTTTCAATCATTCTGTGATTTTAATAATTTGACAAATGGGCTTCACTACCCTATGGTCCCATTTGAGTCATGAGTTTAACTTTATGGGGTCAAAACGTGGTTGAAGTCAATTTTGGTTTTAATGTGAAAACATGTCAAAAACCAAATGATGCATTTAACTAATCAACACATGCGCCACCGAACAAACAAATCAGAAAGAGACCCTTATTTTACATAATTTCTCGAGTTTGTGCTTGATATCCTTCTGCTCACCTTGAGGTTCAGCAGCGTTGGCGTGTGCGTGACGTCACGGGAGCGCACGTGTGCTCGTGACAGCTATCATTAGCTCAGGTGATGTAAAATTAACTAACAAAATTACAAACTTGTCTATAAACGATGTATTTCAATGCATATGCAAATATATTATTTACAATATTTAGTACAAAATTACGAAAAATAAATAAATAAATAAATACTCTACAACAACCAATCACAGAAACAGAGTGAACAACGCTGAACAGGTAAAAACTGTTTCGATTGGTCTAAAGTGATTGAGAAAGGGTGTGGTCTGTTGGCAAGCGATCTCCCGCTCAAACTGATTGGCGGGAAACAGAGTCGGACTTGAAACACTCCTGAGATTAATGCTGCATCACTAAAAACCAAGGTAAACTTTTATATTGCTGAGTTTAATTAACATTTTAATAACATATGTAAACAGAAGAAAAACCTTTATGTAATTGTTTTATCCCTATGAATGTGTAACAGCATTTTACACTTCACCCGAGATAGCACCCTTTTAATGTTTGCACCTTTTTACAATCTATGGTTTGCACACAAGTTATTAATAATTTACCTTTACCATTTAATTAAAAAAAATCCCTGTCAAGATTTATTTGGACAATTTACAGGGATTACAAGTATTTTAAAAGTACCAACTTATTATTTTGAAATATTATTGTTTTTACACTTAACATTTCATTTAGGATAAAATAAGTGTATAGATCCATTTACTCATTTACTTTAAAGAAACAGATAAGGAATCTACAGTAGTCTTCAGATGTGATTTATCTAAAGTGTGACCTTTTTACCAGCAAAATCAAAACAAGTTTTAAGACATAAACCACAATGATTAAACAAACTGGACAGAAATGGACTTTATTAGCGTTACATCTGTAAATATGAAATCAGATGATAACAATAGTGTATTATAAAGAGGGTCCAGAGGACACAACGATTTCGATCTTCAGTGCAACCCTCAATATTTCCTCCATGTTAATTGGCATAATGCAGTGAACATGATTGACAGTAATTCATATTTAATGTTGTACATATTCGGTAATTAACTGCTTTACAAAAAGCAAAATAATACAATGTCATAGTCACTTGTATTTACAGTGTAGTAAATATACTTTTCTATTTTTACACAAAACATTTTTACAGAGTTGAAGTTCTCAGCATAAAAAAAAGAAACAAAAGATAACAATTATGTAAAATTTGCATAACCTCAAGTGCTGAAAGAGAAAAAACTTCACTCTAGTGTTTGAAACATCCAACAATCTCTGCCATTAAAGTCATGTTCAACCCTTGACATTTCTCACGTTAAGACATACCAATATAAAAACGATTAGAAGAACTGAAAAAAATAAAATTGACCTCCACCCCACATACACAGATTTCAACATGTCTAAGAGTAAAAATGGCACCATTGTATATGGGGTAACGATAAAAGATTTCAAGCTTGGATTTCATTTGAGAGGAAAATAAAACAAACAAAGATACAAACATCAGCACACAGGGCATAACATTTACTGTACATGACCAGTAAATAAAACCTGTTGCAGTCCAACAAACTCAAAACTGGATGGTACAGACTTGTGGAACCCAGAATGTTAAAGTTCACAAAGCAAAAGAAACAAAACATGTTAAGAAATAAGGCTCAAGTAAACTTTGAAAAAAGCACGAGAGTTGTCCCCTTTTTGTTCAAGGGGCCATATATCATAGTGAAACCCAATGAGATCTTTGCTGTCTCCCCCCTTTTTCATTTTATATCTGAATGTTTTTTCAGCTGACAGCTGATTGTTATTTTTCCTGCAAAACTGTTTTTTTTTTTATACGCTAAATTACATTGTCTTAAAACTTTCCCCTCTAATCCAAATACTGACATATCATAACCACAAGAGCTGTAATAGATTGAGAAATAACAGCAAATACATTTCAGATAGATCAGGCCAATCAAAATTCAGAAATTCACACAAAGAAATTTGATAAATTAAGTGGGGTTTTGGACAGGGATCATAGTTTAGATGGACCAGCAACTTAACTCGTCTCTTACAAATATTTCCTCCTTGCACTATAAAATTTAAAGTCTATTAAAGATTAATTCTTGCAGTACTGCATTAACGATTGTACATTTTTGTTTTAGGGTACAGCTCACAAATTTTTGCTCATTAGAGTTGACTTTTCAGGAAACAAAATCATTCTAAAAAGAAATGACCACAAAAGTAAATAAAATCAAATACATCTGAACAAAAGAATGGCACTTGGTTAATACTTTCATCTATTAAATTTAAGACAGAAATTAGTGCTTTTAAACAATGTCTGTGATTCAAAAGTAAGAAAAAAAATAAAATAACCAAGTTAAAATTCTGTTATGCACAAACAAAACCAAAAACTTATTGGACTTCCTCCCATACTTTGTCAAACAGTGACTGGTTTTAAAAGAGGCGTTCAGTTTATTTTGATTCCTGGTAAACACGGCTGAACAGTTTCAAGAGAACCTAAAGATAACCGTAAATGGTGGGTTTAGCAGAAGTGAAGAGAAACTGCATAAAATGCAGCGCAATGTATGTCAGAGGTCCAGCAGGGGCTAAACCCTGCTGTGCTGTAGGTCTCATACAATCTTTTTGATACTAGGTCTTTTAAAGCTGCCGGTGCTGCGTTGTTTCTGGACCTGGCTGGCTGAACCGTGGCGTGTGCGTCCGCTAGCTGCCAGACCCGTGGTGGGGGACAGATCCACCTTCTCTTTATCGATTCCTGCTCAAAGCAAAAACATACATGCATAATTATACAAAGCTACAAACAAACAAACAAAATGATTTTCTGAAGTGTCACGATATATAGCCTATATTTTAACAGTAATTTAAAGCTTTAAAGTGTAAAAGTTAAAATGAAGAGGGTGGATGACTTTTCAGTCATACTGTATTTTATGCCTTGGATGAGTTTTGTATTTTATGTTTTTATTTATTCTTCTGTACAGCACTTTGGTCCACTTTTGTTTTAAAGTGCTTTATAAATAAAGTTGGATTGCTTGATTGATTGATTTAAGAAGTGACATAATCATGCTTGATCTGCGAAAAACAGTTGCTGAAAAACTCACAGTTGTTACAGAGAGCCAGTAAGAGTGAGAGGCACCTTAAAATAAACAGACTTATATACTGACCTGGTGCATGCAGGGAGGTGGCCAGTGAGGTCATTGAATTTGAGAGGTTGAGGTTGGCAGTGATGCTGAGCTGGCTCTGGACAGGTGGAGGGTATGGTGAGGTGGGTGTCCGCAGACCCTCCTCGCTCGTTTCCTCATCGATGCCGGGCAGATAGGTATCAATCAGTGCATCCAGAAACTTGACAATCAGCTCCGCATAGTCTGGGAACTGAGTTTGCTGTGGAACAGAGAGCAGCTCATGTTTCTGCAGATATTATCTAATCATATCATCTTTATCCTCTCATTAAATGTTCTAATTCTAAAACTGCAGTAAAGTAACTGATTATGATCAATGTTTTTCTCTGTTGCATTTTGAGAACAAATTCAATGTCAAATACCTTAGAGAAAGGACCAGCAAACCTCCAGAGTCCATTAAACCCAAAAGCTGTAGAGGTAAGTAAAAGGTAAGTAAAAATGACCACTGACCACATTTTCAGCCACATTCACATCCTCTGATTGGACTGTCACACCCACTCATCAGACTCTGACGTTCACAGATCAGACTCTCACATCCACTGATCCTGCATTGCTCAAGCAGTGAAGATTATTTTGACTCTGTTCAATCATCAGATTAAACCCCAAGGTTTAGACTCTGACAGCAGTTCTACAGAAGTGTGCGTGTGTGGTAGAGATGTGTGCTGCTTTACTTTGCAGGTAGGATGTTTGGTACTGAGGTGGCGACTCTTCATGATAAACTACACTCTGCACAATTCCATGGACTGGGTTCAAAAGATTTGGGTCCTGACACAGCGACAACAAAGTATTAATCTTTGAGTCCAGAAGGTTGTGACTGAAACAAAAGTCAACATACAACAATGAGAGCCTCATTTCATCATTCTGTGTCAAATGTATTGAAGAGCAGGTGAGCTGCAGTTGGACTTACACAACAGGAAAGACCTTTGGGAAGACAACACTGGCCTCAGCTAGAAACTCATACAGGATACTCTGCTCAAATTCATCCGATGTGTTTTTCACTTGAGTGGCCTGAAAAATCATTGAACAATACAGATGAGTCAAAATTCAGAGGATGGAGGTTTGGATCGGTGTTTAAAGGAAGTGGTAGTTGGCAGGGGGGTTTAAAAGGAAATGGCAGAGGAACAGAAAATGATTAAAAAAAATAAAAAATTTTTTTTACAAATATTTAAATTCTATATGCAAACTTATCTGTGAATGAGGAAGTGAAAAAAGGGTCCTAATTCATTCTGAGAAAGAAAGACATTACCAGCACAGTAAGCAGTAGTGCCTGGATTTTAGGATCTGTGAGAACTTCCTCATTAAGCAGGACATTGGACTCAGACACCGAGACCTTCCGCAGGTGGTGATGTGACATTCTTGGGGTTTCTTTCAACAGGAAACAAAAAGTTATAAACGGATGCAAACATAGAGAATCATTTCACTTCTTTGTGACACTCACCAATTTCATATTCGTTTTCAGCAACTCTTCTCATCTTGGGCGGTGTTGTGATACCCGATTCCATTTCAGGCCTCTTCGGTGCTTTGCTGTCTGATATCAGGTGATCAAAGCTTTTTCTGGTGTCTAAGAGAAAAATTTTAAGATCATTAAAACTAGGGATGCACGATATTGGATTTTTGCTGATATCCGATATGGCGATATTTTTCAAATCATTTTGGCTGATAGCCGATGCCGATACACATTTCCTTTTGTTTTGAAACAACACCAAGTCTCTCCTGTGCAGAAATTATAAACAAATTATTTTTAATTTTGGTTAGTTTTGTGCAAAAACTTATTTGTTAGAACTAATAAATATTATTGAAGTTCTTTTTTTTAAAGAGAGTACATCGAAAGCTTTGAAAACAACTACAATAAAATCAATCTCTGCTGTTTTTTGCTTTTTTTTGACAGATACAGATGAAACCTGAACATTTTATTTGTGGATTTGCTGCTTTACTTTGCAGGTAGGATGTTTGGTACTGAGGTGGCGACTCTTCATGATAAACTACACTCTGCACAATTCCATGGACTGGGTTCAAAAGATTTGGGTCCTGACACAGCGACAACAAAGTATTAATCTTTGAGTCCAGAAGGTTGTGACTGAAACAAAAGTCAACATACAACAATGAGAGCCTCATTTCATCATTCTGTGTCAAATGTATTGAAGAGCAGGTGAGCTGCAGTTGGACTTACACAACAGGAAAGACCTTTGGGAAGACAACACTGGCCTCAGCTAGAAACTCATACAGGATACTCTGCTCAAATTCATCCGATGTGTTTTTCACTTGAGTGGCCTGAAAAATCATTGAACAATACAGATGAGTCAAAATTCAGAGGATGGAGGTTTGGATCGGTGTTTAAAGGAAGTGGTAGTTGGCAGGGGGGTTTAAAAGGAAATGGCAGAGGAACAGAAAATGATTAAAAAAAATAAAAAATTTTTTTTACAAATATTTAAATTCTATATGCAAACTTATCTGTGAATGAGGAAGTGAAAAAAGGGTCCTAATTCATTCTGAGAAAGAAAGACATTACCAGCACAGTAAGCAGTAGTGCCTGGATTTTAGGATCTGTGAGAACTTCCTCATTAAGCAGGACATTGGACTCAGACACCGAGACCTTCCGCAGGTGGTGATGTGACATTCTTGGGGTTTCTTTCAACAGGAAACAAAAAGTTATAAACGGATGCAAACATAGAGAATCATTTCACTTCTTTGTGACACTCACCAATTTCATATTCGTTTTCAGCAACTCTTCTCATCTTGGGCGGTGTTGTGATACCCGATTCCATTTCAGGCCTCTTCGGTGCTTTGCTGTCTGATATCAGGTGATCAAAGCTTTTTCTGGTGTCTAAGAGAAAAATTTTAAGATCATTAAAACTAGGGATGCACGATATTGGATTTTTGCTGATATCCGATATGGCGATATTTTTCAAATCATTTTGGCTGATAGCCGATGCCGATACACATTTCCTTTTGTTTTGAAACAACACCAAGTCTCTCCTGTGCAGAAATTATAAACAAATTATTTTTAATTTTGGTTAGTTTTGTGCAAAAACTTATTTGTTAGAACTAATAAATATTATTGAAGTTCTTTTTTTTAAAGAGAGTACATCGAAAGCTTTGAAAACAACTACAATAAAATCAATCTCTGCTGTTTTTTGCTTTTTTTTGACAGATACAGATGAAACCTGAACATTTTATTTGTGGATTTAACATTAATAGATGGTCTAAAGCAAAAGAGCTGTAAAAATTCTAATAATCTTTTAGAGCTCCTTGTTTTGATAATCCATTTGAAAAAAATATTACATATTCATATTAAAATCAAAGGTTTGTGATTTTTATTCATGTAAGCTATAGCTTCTGACCTATAAATCAAAACAGACTCGTGATTTTATGACATTACAGCTTTATTTATACAAAAACACAAGTATCTAATTTTATAGGTGTATTTTACTTTTCATTTTATTACAAGTAGGCCTACAGCGCCCCCCTAAATAAATAAAACACCTTACCGGACGGGCAATAGGGGAGGCTTCCGCACACGCTGCTAACTGTTTACTCTTATCATACACTGGACGTCATTCTGTATGTGCATTCTCAAATTAAATGTGGCAATCCAAAACAGTGAATCTAATCACCATTCAGGCAAAAGAATTCAAGAATGACCACACTGCTGACGTGATCTTTTCGCTAGCACACCCAGAGCACATGTGAGTTACTCATCTTATCGGCAAAGCATATCAGCATACATTTTTTCAAATCGGCCGATGCAGATGTTTACATTTTTAGCCTTTATCGGCTGATTCTGATAATATCGTGCATCCCTAATTAAAACCACTAATGCAAACTAAAGAAATAGTGAAAAGCATTAAGTTTACACAAAGTCACAATCTAGGACATTGTTTTCATAAAACAACATGGAGTTACCTAGAAGCTTCTTGGTGTTGACCTGGGAAGGTTGCCCCATGTCCAGGCTCATGGATTTGCGTGTTCGTGGGCTGATCTGCCCCACTATGGGGTACTGGGCCACCAAGTACCGTTCTGAGATTTTTGGGGATGCCCACAGCTGGCTTTCCTGCAGTGTTCTGGATGACAAAGATCATGCTTTATGAACTGGGAAGCAAAAGGTTTGCGTTTTACAAAAGATGATAGTATAAAGTCACCCTAATCTGCTGTCTAGGTGGTACCTGCAGCTAGGATCTTCATGATGTACGAAGTACGTATCCATGGGAACATTCTCCATGGTAACATCAGAGAGGAGCAACAACTTCCTGTGTTTCAGGCTGCAGCGGCTACGCACTTCCTCTGACACTGGGAGGAGAGCTATACAAATGCACATACACAAACGTTACTCACTCTACTGAACCCTAAATAACCAACGTAAAGACACACACCAGAGAAGACCGAGGAAAAAAGGGGAGTTAGCAGTGGTTTCCTTACCTGCCAGATATGCAACGCTCTGTGTGTTCACCTCAAACTTATCACAGTTCAGGTGTTTTCCAACCAAAGCCAACAGCATGTGCAGGATCCGGATGGTGCGTGCCATTGTGGTGGGAGATGGGTGTCTGAACCCTGCCAAAATCAAACAGAAATGTGATAGTTTCCCAACAAACACACACAATGTTTAAATATTTTTGCATAAAACCCACTCAATACCTTTCAACAGGTGCCCGACCAAAGCAAAATTAAAGTTGGAGTTGAAGTTGAGACCAACAAAATGGTCCATCTGTTTACAGTGCCATTCCAGAGGCTGACGAATCTCCATAAAAACCTCCTCAGGACTCTGAGATATAGACAAGACAAATCCTTTTGCCTTCACTAGTTCACTTTCAATTTTTAAGTAGTTGTGTCATTAATGTGAGAATAGCATGCTACAATGTAAACTAAATGTCAACTTCACAAAAATCTTTAATTTTAAGTACTCAATAGCAAACGACTGGTTACCAAAGCTACTGTAGAATTACCTTATCTGGAAGTGTATTTGTCACTCATGATTCATTTATTCTGTAACTGAAGGTGGCCAATAATGGGTGGTTTCCAAGATAGCGTGGGCCTACGTATGTTTGTATATGTGCTGCAATTTGACATATGAGAGAGTGTTATATTAAAACCTTAGCGTTGAAGACTCGCAGACTATCGAGTGTGTGTAGGTTTTGTTCCAGCAGAGCAGTTCCGGCTGAGTACAGATTCACCTCATCCAACTGCAGCACGGCCACAGCGACCCAGAATAGTGCTTTGTGCATTGGTGAGTCCTGAATGACACCACACAGTTAAACAAGTCACACACACACACACAGTCATATCTAGAAGAACACTGTAATTTGATACCTTGTTGAGCAGAGGCTGTAGTTTAGTGAGGGCAATGACGGTTGCTTCGATCAGCACCTGGCTGTTACAGTTATCAGGTCCCTTCAGGCAGCTCTCCAAACCCTAAGAAAAAAAAAACACAGTTCTTCTTAAACGACAGAAAAGATTACTGAAAAGCTAGATGGCACCATCATCACCCAAGACGATCAGAACACACAGCATAGCACATCAAAATGTACTACTTTCCAGAGCAGAGCAATAACAGTACACAATACAGCTTATGGACTGTTCATGTTTCAAAGGAAGACTGACAGTGTAGACAGGTTCTGACCCGGTCGATGCTGAGTAGAGGGCTGGCCTTGCTCAGGATCCGTATGATTTGTTTAATTTGAGTATGTGTGACCCGTTTACTGATGCAACCAAATACCACAAGAGCCCGTGGCTGCAGGGACGGATTGTACTGAAATGCAAACCTGCACATTAAACACACACATACAAGTTCATCATGAATTTGACTTGAACACATACCAGCGAACTCAAACTTTAGTTTATTAGTAAATTATTTCAAAATTCATTTATACAGAGCAGAGTTTACATACTTCTGCGCCAGATCGGTCCACTGGTCCAGCCATTTACAACCTGGAATGTCCCTCATACATGCCTAAACACAAAGGGAAAAACCCAGTCAAGCCATTTAACACACTTTTACGTACGGCAAACAAAGAAATATATAGAGAAATGAAACAAACAGATGCATAACATTTGATCTTTATTTTACGGTCTGAGTATAAAAAGTAAGTGTTTAAAGTAACTAAACAACCGTTTCCTGTGAACACAGCAGTTACTACTAACAGACCTGCTAGCACTTTCTTGAAGAAACACTGCAAAACCTACTTAAGGCAACAAGTGAACAATAAATACAAAATGCTGTGCAAAGCAACAAAAATCTGATATTAAATAGCTATATTGAGTGGGGATTTTTGACCAATGACATTCTTTTTGGGTAAGGCTACACAGTGCAAAGAAGAAATATAAACCAAAGTGCCCGAAAGGCTTTCCCTCAACAATAGTCTACTTAAAGGGGTCATATGCTGAGGAAATACATCAACTTCACACTGTCAATCGCCGGATCGGCTTTCACCGTGGACAAAGCGGAGCCCCGCCCGGGGTCGTCACATGTGGTTAACGCAAGCCTCCTTCGTCGAATCCGCCGGGCGCCGCTCACTTAAGCCGCTGTGTGTTTCGTTGTGAAAGCGAAACTACTTTGTTTGGCCTTCCAAAAGAGGACATAACGTTTCTATAAAGTGGGGCAGTTCCAACTTTGCAAGGACAGTCTGGCGCTTCTGA